ACGTACGCGCATTTTTCATCGCCAAATTATTGAATTGCTTCAACTGCCAAGCGTATTACATACCTTTTAGTGTAATATACAACAATAAATAAATAAATAATTTTTAAAATTTATATATAATTATTAAATAATACAAAGTGAAAGTAACTAAAGTATTAAAACGCATTGCTTGTACAAAAGCTAGAAATTTCCTTTGTGTCTCGTGTGACAAATGCCGCAGCAACAACAACACGACGACGATATCAGAAGGCAGCAAACAGCCTGTGCTTATATACACGACGACGTCTATGTAAACGTCGCAGTCGCAGTTCGCGTCAGCAGCGGCGTTCGTCAATGTGTGCGTGTGCAGAAAACATAAGGCAAAGCATAATACACAATAAAGGTGCACACGAAAGCAAATAACCTAAAGTGACAGCCGCAGCAGAGCTCGAGTTTCTATGCTGTGTGCGATTGTGTGTGTGTGTGAGTGTTTTGTGTTGAGAAATATCAAAAGCAACGAAGCAGAGGAGTAAAGTGTAAAGCAAGCAATAAAACGTAGCAACGCAAACAGCTGAAGCTGAAGCCGAAGCTGAAGAAAGAAAGGCACAAGATAAATTGTTGAAAATCTAATTAAAACGAAACGGCGATGAGTATATATATTTATATGTATTTGTGTGTATATATTTGTGAAAGTGTGCGTGAGCAAATATGCCAATAACTGCASTTTGGATTATTACAACAACAACAGCAACAACATTATTAACGGCTGCATCGCGTTTTGGATTACGTTTACTTCTTGCAGCAATTGGATAAAAACAACAACACAAAAATGCCGCGCACTCAACTGGATTAGCCGTCAAATTTGTACTCAGGTAAAAATAACAACACACAAGCAGGCCAAAGCAAGATGTGCAATTGCAAATTATATGCTCTTTTTTTCTCTCTGCTCCACTAACATTTTACAGTACTGCTGCCGTCTGCCTGTCGGCACACAGCTGTTGCGCTGCTAACGCTCCCTACCTCTCTCTCTCTCACTCGCTGTCTTTACCCAAATTAAGAAAAAAAAATCACTCACACTCACACTCGCTCGCAACTCTCACTCCAGCATGCCCTCGGTTGCTAGCAGAGGGAAGTAAGTGAAGTAGCAGCGGAAAGTAGCTGCAAACCAAAACAGTAGCGGCGACAGCAACAGCTTTTTGTGCCCCCCTCTTTACACACAGACACATACATTCACAGAAAGTGTAAATTTGCGATTGGCAAGTGAGCTTGCACATATATATATACACATACGTGTGCGCGCTTTACATGCTGTTATTTTTTTTTTACATAAATATGCTCTGCGTACACATACATATTAACAAATACAGTAAATTTTTTTATTTTTAACTGCTTTACTTTATTTCGTCGCTGAATGGAAAGCAGTGCGTGTGAATGTGTACGTCTCTGTGTGTGGGAAAGGAGATAAAGTCTTGGTCGCTATCGCATTCACCCTACCCTTTGCATTTCACAAACACTGACCCTTGCGTAGCGCATTGCTGCTTTTTTTCAGGCCGCGCTTTTGTTCTCGAACGTTAACTCACGTGAAATTCCGCTGCTTGCTTGTATTTAACTTTTTTTTTTTATCCTTTTCATTTTTCGTACTCTTATTTTATTTTTTTTTTTTGCGCGCGCTCTACCACTGAGAGCTATAGTTGTTGTTGCCGCTGCTGTTAGGAAGGGTTAAACATGGGTACGCTGTGTGCGTGTATGGGTGAATGTGTGTCCGTGTGTGTATGTGTGTGTGTGCACACTTAAATTTTATGTAAAAAGGATTTTAAAGGCAGCTCCGTTCGTGCTTGTGCTTGTGCGCGTCCCTGAATACATTTCATATTCATTCATATTTAMATTTTGTGAGTGAGTGAGCAAGAGCAAGAGAAGGAGAGGCAGAGTTTGGCTCTTACTGTGAAAAGTTTTGAGTAAAAGTTTTTGCTGGCGCGCGTTGATGCAAAAACAACTTGAAATTATAAAGTTTTTTTTTTTTTTAATATTCCGCACTCATATTTGTGCTTTTGGGGAGTTCAATTTCAGGCCATTTTCATTTCACCAAATACAAAACAAAAAAAGCCGTACATAACCCAACTTATCTGACTTTTAACTCTACCTCTCTCGCGCTCTATCCCTTTTTATCTGGGCTCCCCTTTGAGTGCCAATGCAATTTGCAGTAGTATACGTGTATATATACATACGTATGTGTGTGTGTGTGTGTGTGTGTGTGTAGAGGGTCGCTCGGCAGTCGTTAACATTCCCTTGGCAACTGGTGAAGGGAGGGAAACAGAGTGAGCGATAGAGTGTCAGACGGGGCAAGGGGAAGCCAGTGTGGAGCAAGCATCCATTATCCATCAACTGATTGCACATAAAAATATATGTATATTTGTATACATACATATATCATGAAACACAGCCTCTTCTTTTGGCCAGTGATTTAACAGTTTTGACTTTCAATTACGAATATGGCAAATGGGGGGCGTGGCAGCTCCAAATATGCGAAATTGATGAATTTAACATGAGATTTTCTGTTTAACATTGAGTTTATATTTTTCGAGTTTTTTTTTTTTTTTTTAATTTTTTTTCTTCTGTTTATGGACCACAACTCGTGTTCAGTTTATGTGGTTGAGTCTGCTTATTTTTCACTATTTTCTTATCATTATGCATTTATATACAGATGGATTGACAGTGAAATGAAAAAGAAGAAGAAAAAACAGCTGTTGCTGCTTCTGCTGCTTGCTGAGTTTTATCTTTTATTTTATTTAACATTTTCACAATCAGCACAAAATGCACGAGGCCAACGACTTTATGGAGTGTGAGAGGGAGAGAGAAAAAAAAAACAAACATTTCTTTATGTTTTTCCATTGAAAATGCTACGAGTGGAAATTTAAGATTTCTCTGTGCATGTGTGTGTGCGTGTGTGTGTGAGCTTGTGTCTGTGTTTGGCAACTTGAAACGTATTTTTATTGTGTTTACATATTGTATTTAAGGATTATTTGAAGCTGTTGCAGGGAGTGGAGTGCACAGTAAGAGCTCGCTAAGTGGAAAGCTAACAATTTCAAAGCATAGTTGTGCAGGTCTAAAGCGAAGAGGGAAAGCAAATTTGGTATTCTCATATATTTTAAACAGCTTTTAAAATTCAAACATACATACATTTATATTCAGAAGCTTTAAAACTTAAATAAAAGCGTAAAATTTAATTGCTGTAGGTTGTATTTACTTTAAAAATTAAATTAAATTTAAAATTAACTAAATAATAATTATAAAAAAATTAAAAAATTTAAATTAGAAATAAATTTAATTAAATAATAAAA